GCCCGCCGCGACCGCTTGCAGGATGACGCTCTCCTTGGTGGCCCCGTTGATGCCGAGGGAGGTGTCGTCGATGTAGGGCGCGAACCTTACCAGCGGGTGGAGCGTGACGTAGATGTCGTACTGCTCGATGGCGTGCGCCTTTATGACCACGTCTGCGTAGCCGTCGCCTGCTGGGGGGCCGAACTGTGCATGCCGTGGCTGCGCGCCGTGATGCTGCCGAAGTCGCATCACTCGTGGTCCTCTCCACTGGTTGTACACAATTTTTACCATCGCTAAGGGCATGCCGAGCCGCAGCAGCTTATCCCTTGCTTCGTCTAGGGGAATCAGCTCGTAGTACTTGCTGTAGTCAGCGATGATGGTGGCCGTGTGCCGCCCTGCCTCTGCATTATGTTCCGCATCCGCCGCCAGGATCCAGGCGCTGTCGATCGCGCTCCTGTTCTTGGCCGCCGCCCAGTCGGGCCTACGTAAGGCCTCTTGTAGAGGTAGAAGGGCAGGTTTACGGAGTCGTTGGCAGACTCTGTAGGCCATGGAGTACAGGATGATCAACCGGCGGCCGCCGGCGGCCTTGGGCAGCATCGGCATCGCCATCCACGTCAGCTGGGCGGGGAAGAGGCCCAGCGCCTCGCAGGCCAGCATGATGTCGCACAAGCCCTCCAACGCGTCGTCGCTGAGGTGCTCCAGGTGCGTAGGGTGCAGGCCGTCCAGGCTGCTGGAGGTCGTGATGCTGAAGGTTCGGGAGGCGCGTCGAAGTTCCTCTGGTGATGGCCATTCGAGGGTAGACCTATCAGGAATCCACGCCTGGGGAGCCTCCTTCACCGCCTTCCAAAGCGCTGCGTGCGTATCCTCCAGATCCTTGACTACAAAGTGCGGGTGCCCTGTGATACCGTTCTCCGAGTCGTTGACCGTGGTGGGGGCCTGAACCTCTCGCACGCGCGTGACCTTGTGAAGCTTCCCCGCTCCGCCAGCGCGCGCCCCGTCGCACCGCTCTTTCCAGCGCCTCGAAGATTCCTTGTTCGCTTGCTGCATGGCGAAGTTGACGTCCTCGTCGATCTCTTCCGAGAAGGTCATGATGTCCTCGCTGCTGAAGCTCCTCTGCGCTAGCTGCCGAGCTTGCCGAACTGATGCGTCGAGCCGCGCGCTGAGGTTCTGGCCGCAGTAGTCAACAGTGAGGAAGCCCTGCACCTCGTTGTCGAGGACCTGTCGGCCTTCAGGTGTCCTGGCATTCGCCTTTGCAGTGGAGAGGCCCGCCAGGCAGTCCTGCAGCCGCTTCCAGCCATCCGCGATCGCCTGCACCTCATCATCCGTGAGGATCTCGTGCTCGCGCTCGACCCACTTGGCTTGGAGCGGACGCGCGTAGGCGCCGGCCCGCGCCTCCGTGCCTGTGAGATGCCCGAGCCTCGAGGCCGCCCTGGTCGCCCATCTGCCCCAAGCCTTCGAGAGGAAACGCCAGGCGACTGCAGCGGGCGCCTCCTTGGCCATGCGCAGCGCCTGCTCAGCGAAGCTGCGCTCCAGGGGCCAGCTGCTCTCCTCGAGGAATGGGCCGTGCACTGTCTGCGCTGGTATCTTCGCGCCGCCGACGTAGGTGAGGTACCTGAGCTTGGTGCCCTCCGCTGTCAGTTGTAGCTGAACTGGTCGATGCGGCTTTACCGCCCAGGCCAAATCGGCCTTGCATGCAGCTAGCATGCGCATGGAGCCCGTGGTCAGCCCGAAGTAGTCGATGGTTGAGACCAGCGCCGCTGTCCTGCAGGTCGCGTGCCTCGGGGTGACCATCTCCAGCTGCGCGTGCACGGGGAAGCTGGAGTCCTTGACATCCTGCACGTCCATGTTCCAGTCGCCGCCGATGATGCCAGGGTGAGCCTGGCCCGCGAGCGCGAGCCCCACCGTCATGAGGATGCTGGCGCTGCGGCTGCCCATGCCCTCCCCTGTGTGGAGGTAGACGTTGACGACGTTGAGCGGCGGCCAGTTCGGCAGCTCCACGACGACGTGCTGGGCCCTGCCGCGGACGAGCTCGGTGCCGTGCGAGATGGTCTCGTTGACGCTGCCTGCACGTCTGGGCGGGGCCTCGTCAGGGTACGTGGGCCCGCGCAGCCCGATCCCCTCCCTGGCGAAGACTGCCAGACCTGCAGAGGGGAGGTGTCCTCGTGAGGGCAGCCCGGGCACGATGAGGCTTTGCCAGCCGCGTGCCGTTGCCCAAGGAGAGAGGCTCTCGCAATCGTCGGTGCCGTAGCCGATCTCCTGGGCCATGATGACCATTGCTGTTGACCTTCTCAGCCGCTTCTGGAGGGTTAGCTTTCCCTGGTTGGCGTTGAAGGTCTCGAAGGTGTGCGTGATGGTGACCGCTGCTGGTACCTGTAGCTCCTTGGCGCCCGCGCTGGCGGCCAGTAGCCCGCGGACCAAGGGCGGGTTACCCAGGCAGCGTGCCTGTGCCCAGGGAGCCTGCAGCGGTCCTGCGGTGCTTGCTGTGGACCTGCGTGAAGGCGTCGGCCAGCTGCTCCTTGGTCCAGTCCGAAGGCTGCTGCCCGCTGCTGAGGAGCTGCTGCCAGAGGGCGCCGACGTCATCCTTGGCCAGCTCCACCCAGGCGGCGCCGCGCTTATCACCTCCTCGAGGCTGAGCGGAGCCGTCGGCGTCTTCGTCCATGTCATCGGCGTCCCGAGCTGGCGGTCCGTCGGCTGCACCTGCGCCACCGCCCTCAGCATGAGGAGCATGAACACCAGGTTCCTCAGCCATGGCCGTAGCCAGCTTCTCTGCCGCCTGCTTGCGGAGGGCCGCCTGGATCTGGTCGAAGTGGGGGCTCGCCTTGAAATGCGCGAGGGCCTCCTTCGCGCCGTCGCCGTCGAGCTGCTCGGCGAAGTCGAATCCAACCAGGTCCTCCTCCTTGATGACTGGGTGGGGCTTTTCACCCCGTGCAACCTGCATGGTCTGCTCGTGCTTCGCGCTCTCCTTGCGCAGGACCTCCACCTCGGCACGCTTTGCCGCGATGGCCTCCTGCTTGTCCTGGATCTTGCGCTGGGTAGCCGCCAGCTGCTCCTCGAGGCCCTGCAGATCGCTCGTGAAGCGGTCCAGCTGCTGCCTGCACCGCGCGAGCTTCTGGGACGAGGCCTTGTATGCAGCACCTGGGGGGCGCAACTCGCGCGCCTGCTGCCGAAGGTCGTCGAGAGCCCGCTGGTGCAGGAGGTGGATCGGGCCGCCCTCTGCCTCCACGATCTTGCACTCCTTGAGGCTCTTCTCGTGGAAGTTGATCTTCGCCTGGAGCTCCGTGCGCTGCTGGATGTTGCCCTGCCCCTGCTGATTCAGGGCGTTCTGACGGGAACTTCGACGAATCAGGGCACTGGCGGGCCCGAGAGCACTGCGGCCGCGGGCCAGCGAAACGTGCTGTTCGCTCCTTCGCTCCGCCCGGGCGGCATTTTCCACAAGACACCCGTCAGCGGTGTTTTGGTTTAGGGCCCGCGCTTCTCCGTTCTGCACGCTGCCT